TGTATGTATGTACGCATGCACATATGTAGTGCGTTTCAATATTAATGCTTCTCAATATTGTCACTCTAGTCGTTATGTGTGTTATTCACAGCATTTCACAGGCGGAGTGTAATCTTGTTTACACCAGCCACCACAAACACAACACTTTGCTTCTTCTAAGGAATGAGGGCAACATCAGGGGACTTCCCTAAATTCAGTAGCACGCTCTTCCCAATAGTAGTGTTCCTCATTTAGCACAGGTCTTGTGGGACAGTATTGTACGCCAAGTCCGGATTTGTCATGCGATTCAAGCGTTCGAAGCGACATAAACTTCAAACCCTGTTTGCAAAACATAGCCGGCTTTGAGGGTTCAGGTGGAACCCAGGCAGGCTTTCAAGTTGCGCATGATTGAGTTTGTAAGATCAAATGGAAACAACAATTAAGAATGCCATGGGCAGTGGCTTCGTATGAGATTCAGGAATGTGTGATTTCGGCTCTTTATTGTGGCTTTTGGTGAGTGTACAAGGGGGTACTCAGGAGTATTGCCGAGTGTATATCTTTGGTCTCCAATTGGGTGACCATGGACTAACATCCTATCACACAGGGCGGTTTCAGAAGGACTCTTTTTGGGAGCCCGTCTAAGAAAGAATATTCACACGCGTATCTCTCTATATATATAATATGGATCTAGACATAGATTTAGATTTACAAATTGGGGTCTGTATATGGGTTCCTCATTCATGGAAGCCCCACATCGGCAGGGATATCTTATAGATAGCGCCTTGTAAGCAGCGCCTCCAAGGTAGGACGTCATACAGCCAACAGGCTTAGGCTTATAGTCCCCCTTGGGTAGATAGAATATGTTATTTTGTGCCAACAATGACCCAGGATGCTTGGGGATCTGATGAGCGCTGAGGTAGAGGACACATGGGATGCAGATGGCAGTGGGCAGGGATCATGCATTCGAGGGTTACCGTTGGAGGCTGCCTCTAGTGCCTCTTACCGAACTGCCACTGCTGCTGCAGATTCTAGTTGTGGGCAGGGGCGGTGGCGGTGGCCGTGGCCGCGTTTGCGGCGGCATCGGTGGTGGTAGTATGGTGAGGTGCCAACGCTGATGATGATGATGATGATGGTGATGACAATGGCTGAAGAACGCAAGGATGACCGCTACTGGCATATGTTCTTCCTTCCTTTAGCTACTACACGGTCTTACCTATTGTATTCCGCTAGGCCTTTGCCACAAATATAGGATTTAGGTGTTAGGGTTCACAAAGCCATGTCGCCCAACTGCCTCATGCTCTGCCTCCTTGAGCCTGGATACGGGTCTGAGTTTCAAGTGCTTGGGGGGATCCAGACCCGGCAGCCCAATCATGATCCAAAGCTGCAAGGACGTACCCCTAAATGACGGTCCAAGGCTCTAGGTACCGCGGTTTAGCCCTTGCCGCCCGGAATAAGACGTATTCTCTAAATTGTAAGCATATGTATATGAAGATATACATGTTCTATTTGGGAAGAAGCAGGGTGATGATTAAGGAGAGGTGATGAGGGGGGCGAGGGTTTCAGGTATGGGGTTGACGTCGTTACAGCTAGCTTTTATAGGTTGTTATATCCATTATTTTGATGGCGTGATCGCAATGAAAGCAACGTTTGGGCCTTTCAGGGGCAGAATTTCGGACTTTCAGTCGCAGATGTTGGACTTAGAACATGCGTGATTATCTATAACCCAAGAACCTACTATATGGATACCCTGGGCTTCTAGGGCTAGGGAGCACTGTAGCATTCGAGCAAACAAAGAATGAAACGAAGCCATATGTCGAGCCACGCTTTGGTTTCTTCTTGCTTGTACATGGCTATACTTGGCTTTAGGGTTTAGGGTTAACTTGGAGGGTCAGGGGGACTTAGTAAGTAGGCTAATAACCCCTAGAACCCACATAGTAACCCTAGTTATCCTAATTATTAACCTACTTACTAAGTCCCCATGACCCTCCAAGTAGCAACTACAGATTTTGAGACGGCCGCATGGGCAGCACGGGCAGCTTAGTTTTACTTACACAGACTTTTTGTTGTTGATATTTCTCTGCTGTTGTTACCATTACTCTGATTACTTCTTAGCTGTTATTGCTAATGCTACTATCATTATTACTACCTCTCGTATTACTATTAAAACCTTTATCTATGTTATTATGGTTATACTTTCGTTACCAGTCATAATTATTAATGCCAGTGTTTGCATTATTGTGTTGTATCACTGTTATTCTTACCATTACTATTACTATTACTAGTAGTGCTATTGTTCATATTCCTTTTATAGTATTATTACTGTCATTACTATTATTAACATTATTATCACTATTCTTAGCATTATTACGATATTGACTATTGTTACTATTATGTGGCTTGAGCTCCAGGGCTTTGCGTTGATTCGCCGTCTGTTTTCTTGCAGACGTGTACGCTGTGTATGGTTGATGGGCATGATAGACACTGCTGTAGCTACAGGGTTGTGGTAACCACACGGTTGAGGGTTTAGGGTTTCACATGGTCCATGGTTCTAATCGGATCCTACTTGGGGGGTTTGGAGCCACCCAAATCCATTTATAAATCGTGGCAGACACCAAGATGCCCTAAACCCTAGGCCTTGAACCGTAAACCTTAAACCCTAATTGTTAAACTTGCAGGAACTGCCCTCTGCACAAAAAAGTGCATGAAGTGACACGCATGGTGGTTGGGTATCAGTTAGGAGGACCCCCACCCTGTAATAGTGGTAGCGTTTAGGGCTTAGCTTTTAGGGTTTACACACCCTGTAATGGTGGTGTATATAATAGAATATAAGACGACCCTGCAACAATCCTTCCTTAATTTCCCTTATAGTCACTATTACTGGGTGGGGGGTCCACCTAAGGTATCAGGGTTTAGTGTTGAAGGCTTAGCGGCTAGAATTGAGAGTAAGTTTGTGGGATACCTGAATTCTGGAGACTTTAAGTCGTGGATCCCAAATGGCTTAGCCATGGTCACTTCACCCTATAGTCCCCCTTCAGAACCCCATAGGGTTGAGGGTTTAGGGTTGAGGGTATAGTTGCCCTTAAGTAGATAGCTTTGGGTATATTATAATCAGATCCCTATATACCCCATATTCTATCTACTTCAGAAAAACACTAAATTATCCTAAACTTTGAACCCTAAATAGTAGTTTCCATTTTCTTTTCCATTATCCCAATATATACCCCAAGGGGGACTATAAGCCCTAAGCCCTAAACGTTTCTCCTCCAGCCTTCGGGATCAGAGGATGGGTTTAGGGTTTAGGGTTTAGGGTATTTGTCAAAAGTCACGGCTTGGGATTTAGGGTTTTAAGGGTTTAGGGTTGGCATTTGAGCTACGGACTAGATGTAGGTGGGCGGGGGACCTATAATTCGGGGATATATAGGGGGGTATAGGGGGGCCAATTTAAGGGATATACTACAAATTCCGTCCAGGGCTCAGACCCTAAACCCTAAGCCCCAAAGCCCCCTAAACAACTTACAGGATCAGCTTCTTGAAGAACCTTGTAGAAAATACCCAGAGCTAGCAGAGACCATCTGAGTTTAGGGTTTAGGGTTCGCAGTTTGGGGTTTAGATTTAGGGCTTTTAGGGTCTAGGCGGTCTAGGGTTTAGGGTTCACAGTTTAGGGTTTAGGGTGATAATTCTTACAAGGTCTCTCATGCCTGCGAGCAATGTGATTTTAATATAGGTTTTAGCCGTTATTAACACTCTTACTATTTGTCTTCCTGTTGCAGCAGCAGGAGGAGCACCGGCAGCAGCAGCAGAAGCAGCAGCAATCATGTCAGCTTTAATACCAATACGACTTGAACCAAAACGTAGCAGTAACATACAAGCAGCAAGCTCCGAGAATTCCACAATCGAAGAACTTGCCTTAAGACAGATTAGGAACTTAAGTATACTTCAGGTTATACTCCTTAGTCTCCTAAACCCTAGACTTTGAACCACAAACCCCAAACCCTACATCTTAAACCCCGTAGACCCTACACTCTAAGCCTTAAGCCCTAACCCTTAGCCTTAAAGCGTAAATGGGTTGGAGATGTGCTGTGGAGAGACAGCGTCTTGGGCCATTGAGCCATGTCGCGGCCGGGCGCTCGTGAGATTGCAGTTGCAGGACTGGGGATCACAGTGGTGTGCTACTTAATTGCAAGCCTTACTGGTTCAGGGTTTAGGGTTTATTATTGAGGGTTTAGGGTTTGCTTTTCAGGGTTTATAAACCCAAATCCCTAAACCCTAAACCCTATTGTTCAGTGTTTAGGGTTTATTTTTCAGGCTTCAGGGTTTAGGGTTTCAGGGCCAGTGCTCAGTTGAGGCCTGTCGATACTTGAAGCGCTGGATGTCTTCAATCATCCTAAGTTTCAGGGGTTTAGGGTTTAGGGTTTTAGGTTTAGGGTGTAGGGTTTAGGGTCATGGCCTTAAGCCCCAAGCAGTATAACCCAGACCCTTGAATAATAAACCCCCTCGCCATGATAGGGATTATAATAGGGATCCTAATGGTAAGGCTCTTAAAAGAAAGGGAGGGGGTTATGAATCATGGGTCTACACTCTAAACCCTAAACCCTAAATAGTAGCTTCCATTTTCTTTTCCACTATCCCTATATACCCCCTATATAACCCCTAATATGACCCCTAGGGTCTACATTAGTAGGCTAAGGTCATGCCGGATTTTGAGCGGCAGGCCCCTTTTGGGAGGTTCATGGGCGGATATAAGCGGGGTTGCGAGTAGAGCGTCGGGTTTAAGATGTTTAGGGTTTAGGGTTTAGGGTTTATATGGCTAGAAATATAAGCAGTGACTAGCTAAACCATAAACCCTAAGCCCTAAATCCTAAACCCAGAGCATCTAGAACCCCAGCTCTAACTACCCATGCTGTAACTGCCTTCAAGTGCGGTCCAGGGCATAGGCTTCCTAAGGGTTATGCAGGGTTTGGGGCTTAAACTCTAAACTCTACACCTACGTACAAAATTAAGCACTTTGGTCCTAAGCCCTATAACAATGGGATAGTTTAGTATTAGTAGCCACCAGTAGCACATGTTCTATTTCGTGGGTCCTTGGTTGATATAAAATATCTTGCATGATTGCAAGAAGCACATCTCTTCGGAAGTCCTTAAACCCTAAAACCCTAAAACTCTAAAACCCTAAACCCTGAAACCTTAAACCCTAAATGATGTTCTAGGGCCAGCCAGTATCAGCAGTCGGGCCCTTCCTGAAAGCTACCCTGCCCATCCTTAAAGGGGGTTCTATAGGGGATTATATAGGGACTAGTATACGGGTAATGAAGGGGGATGCTAGGAGTTTAGATCATAGCGCATATGGCTTTCTTCTGGGTCCCATGTTACTTCAGGGCATGAAACCCTAAACCCTAAACCCTAAAACGCGTGGCATTTCCAATAGCCTCGGGATCCCAGCATCGATTGCACGTTGTTGGCACGGCTTATGCACCAGAATACTGTACGACGCGTGCTGCAATCTGCGAGAATTCGTCCACCAGCATTCTTCTCCATAGTTACACCCAAGAATTCACAAAAGCAAATACATGTAATTAGTATGCATTTTCTACTATTTTTGTGGGTGGCGGGGTATTTTTATTGAAGTGCAACAGGAAGAGAGGGTCAGTACCACCATAGACCATACACCACAAATCCCAGACTGTCAGCCCTGAACAACAAGTAAAGGGGATTAGTACTTGGAGGTTCGAGCGATTCAGTAAGTAGGCTATAATTGGGGTTGTGAACCCCCAATTTCGGTTGTCCGCCTTATAACCCCTCTATGACATACTATGTCCCCTGAATCTCTAAGAAAGGCTTTCTTTACGCCACCTGGCCGGCCACTGGTGCTGCACGTCTCGTGGCGTTGGAAGCGCAGGTGGAAGTTCATCAAATAGGGTTTAGGGTTTAGGGTTTAGGGTTTAGGGTTGGTTTCCTCACTGCCCTGCTAGTAGGAAAGTCCAGTTCAGAGTTAAGGCTCTGTAGAAACCCTTTGTACTGGGTTTATACCCCTTAGCTCTTTAAGGGTAGCTTTTGAGAAGCCCCAAACCCTAAAACCCCTAAAGCCTAAGGCCCAATGTATCCCCACGACGAGCCAAAAGTTCCCTCAAATCTAGACCCTGACCCCTTTTAGGGTTCAGGGTTTAGAGTTTTAGGGTTTCGGGTTTAGCGTTTACCCCCAGACCCTACACACCCTAGATATTATTTTCCCAAACCAGCAATATCTTCAAACTTCCCTTAAGGGTCCTGAAATCTAAGCCCTAAGCCCGAAGCCATTTTTTTGCGTCAGACTTCTCAGGTTAATCGGCTTCAACAACAAGTGGGGCAGTTGCGGGACGAACTGGGAGCCATGAGGCATGGGTCCAGATTTTAGAGCTTTAGGCTTTAGGGTGTTTAGTCGTTTTAGGGTTGCAGGTTTTTGGGTTCTAGGTTCTTAAGGTTCATTCTTCTGGGCTTTTAATCTCTCCATGCCTGAACCATTCATTGTAGTATCCTTTGGGCATGACCCAAAAAAACCAGACCAAACCCCAAAAGGCATTGCCTTGGAGGGCCTGGGTAGGGTTTAGGGTCAGGGTTCCAGATTGAGAGTTCAGGGCATCCTATACCCTAAGCCCTAAACCGCCCAAACAGCGTGGCAGGGTTTGGTGCATCTCAATGAACCCTAAACCCTAAACCCTTAAACTGGGTAGGCAAGGGCTACAGCTCTGACGAAGATTTTTTGATTTTCTTTAGGGACTACTAAAAGGGGTTATTAAGGGCGATACTTGGAGTTTAGACTATGGATCATTTAGGATTTAGAGTCCTTCGTGGCTTAGGGTTGTATGGTCGCAACCCGGCTATATCTGTAGTCCCTTCTGGTTGCAGGTATGGGTGCTTCGTGATTCTAGCACGGCACGAAGTTCTTGGGAAGTACATAAATGGGCCCCCTGCTTCTCAAACTGCCCACGCTAAACCGCAAACCCCACTAGCGGGACTAAGCATTCTTATGAACCCTACAGGCCAAATAGCACTGTAAGTAAGCCCTGTTATTCGTACTATAACCTATTAGGAAGGGACCCTGACCCTAAACCCTATTAGTCTGGTAAGTTCTTCTCGCTGCTTCCCCTAACTTTCCAAGTAGGCCCTAAACCCTAAACCCTTAAACCCTAACCCTAAGGGTCCAAGGACCTAAATAATAGGGTTTTAGGGCTCAAATACTATAATATTATATAACGGTATTTGGGCCCTAAAGCCCTATCATTTGGGTCCTGGGACCCTTAGGGCAAACCATGACCCCAAAGGAGCAAGCAAAAAGACGACGGTGGTGAGGTCCGAGAAGCTGGGATCGGTGAGCGCAAAGATGGCGAGCAAGGAGAGTAGGGGGTTTGGGGTTTAGTGTTTAGGGTTTGGGGTTTAGAGTTTAGGGTTTGGTGCTTAGGGTACGTTTAGGGAGTTTTGTGTTTAGGGTTTAGTGAAGTGATTGTCCCAAATTGGGATACAATAGGCACCCCCAATATGGAGCATGAGTGTATCTTCCTTCGGGTTATAGTGTCGCACATGAAGAATGTGGTTTTGGTTTCTGTATTCAACCAGGCCATCCCAAAACAATTGAAACCCTTTAAACCCCACACCTTAAAACCCTAACCCTAAACGTTTGGAACCCTTTAAACCCTAAATCCTAAACTCTCCAGGACTTTTAAAACATGAAAACCATAAGCTCTGGAAACCCTTTAAACCTTAAAACCCTTTGAACCGTAGACCTCGCTACTGAGGAGAGGTCTCTGTTGAACCTGGACCCGCTGAGTCTCCCAGCCTTCAGGACCCACAGGGTGGAGACCCCCAGGGGTGAAGATTAAGGGTTTAGGGTTTAGATTTAGGGTTTAGGGTTCAGGGCTTAAGATTATTTACGCGTTATGTCGGGGTTATATTGGGATGATGGAAAAGAAAATGGAGACTACTATTTAGGGTTTAGGTTTAGGGTTATATAGGGGTTATATAGGGGTTATGTTGGAATAATGGAAAAGGAAATGGACACTACTTCTTAGGGTATAGGGTCTAGGCTTTAGGCGATGCCCTAAACCCTAGAATCTTCTGGGTTGCTGTTAAGGATCTCAAATTAAGTTACCATACTGGGTATATATATAGTAATTAATAGGGTTTCCCAACATAGCAACTTTATTCAAGTTCCTTAACAGCAACCCAGTCTTTGCATGACTCTAAGTATACTACAGCACCATCACTCCCAAGGTCATGCGGAAGCGTACCCTCTCGGAAACTAACATGGAAACCCAAAAAGGGCCCTATAAAGACTACAGTCCTTTAAAAGGGTCGGGGCTATATGGGTTTCCATGTTAGTTTGGGGGAGTGTAAGCTGATCAACCTTTTGCAGCGTGGGGGTTTGGGGGCAGGCGTGTTCTTGTATTCCTGGAAGGACCCAGCGTCGCTGCCTGCGGGGGTACTGAACGCAACCGTGTCGACGGAGCAGAGAGGGGAGGAGCTACAAAATTTCCCTATTGGGGTGGTATTGGGGTTATACAGGGGTTATATAGGGAATAATGGGAAAGAAAATCGAAACTGCTACATGATAGGGTTATATTGGTGTTTAGGGAAAAGACTAGGAAATCCCTGCGGGGGTTGGCTGCTCGGGGCTTTACATGGGATGTCCCTGTCTATCTGTTTGCTCCTGTCTTTCTTTTGACCCCTAGGAGTACTTGCACTCAGTGGTGCAGAGGAAGGAAGCGCGGATGTCCCAGAGTTTCCGGAAGCCAGCACACCTTTTGGAAACGATTGATTAGGGTTTAGGGTTTAGGGTTTAGGGTTAGGAGGTTTCTGAAGCATCAACCCTAAACCCTAAACCTTTCCAGGGTCTTTTAGTACAATCCGTGCTTCAGAGTTTATGAGCTACTATTCGCTCAGGAACACCAAGAAAATAGAAAATAGTAACCCTATATTACCCAAATAAGGAAGAATATTCTCATTTTTCGGTGTGTTCCTTAAGCAAATGGTAGTGAGGATAGAGCCGGCCTAAATCACCAAACCGCGCGCGCTCTCTGGGCTCCACAACGGAAACTTGTGTTTCGAAACTCTCAAAACATGGTCTCAACTCCGAGCGGGACTACCTTGCCCTAGAAGCCCAGGTACCCATATAGTAGGTTCTTGGGTTATAGATACTATCAGTTTATATAGGGACCCAAGGAACTGGGCTTCTAGGTTTAGTATGTACCCGAAATTTCACAGGATCCCTCGAGACCCAAACCTGCTACGATTACGCCAAGTTGAGGCAAAATGTACTCTGAATCGCGTACCCAAACTGATGGAGATCCAGGGCTGTAAGAACCTAGGTAACCCTCCTTGGACATTTAATATTTCCCTTAATGGGTTTAATATGGGACCCTATATACGAATCTTTTTCAATTCGCTTGAGGGTTCAACCTAGGAACTGTATCTCTAGTCCAATGAGAATCAGCCGGGCGGGTTCGGGTTAAATCACTTTAGGGGACTTAGAGGAATGGGGTGGTAAGTACAATTACTATAATTATGCGGACTGTATGAAGATCCCAACCCCTAGACACCAAAGCCTATAAATCCTAAACCCTAAACAGTAGGTTCCAACTTCTTTTCCGTTACCCCAGACTTCCAAATTAAGGAGGGATGTCGCAGAGGAATGCCGGGTCGCCATGACGACAGAGACTTGCTGGTTTTGAAATGGAACTACTCTGGCGGTTCATCAAGGGTTTCAGGCTCGTACGTTTAAGGGACTCTGGGGGACTACATTGGCTCATCTAAGGGCCATCTAAGGGCTACATTAGGGCGATAACCCTAAACCCTCAACCCCAAACCCTAAACCCTGGCGGTTCGACCTTCGGGGCATAACCCAGGAACTCCTCAGTTTAGGGTGCAGGGTGGAGGGTGGAGGGAAGGGCATGGAGTAAAGGACCCCTACAGGAGCCCTTAGGGGGTTTAGGGTTTCGGGTTTTGGCACATATGGGGTTTCTCAAAATTTGGGGGCACCTATTTTCAGGGTCCCCATAATAAGGATTATAGTTTTTTGGGTCTGTATTGTGGTCCCCCTATTTAGGGAAATATTCTACGTAAATTTCAGCTTCATTGTGCATATCTTGACTGCTAAAAGCCAGCAAGGAGAATGATCTCGAACTCTGGGTTCGCGTGCTCAAAGAGCATCAAAGGACTGGTTGAGGGTTTCATGTCTTGCCCTAAAATAATGCGTAAGCCCTAATCCCCAGTACCTAAACCCCAAAAGTAGGTAAAATACTAGCCCAAAACACCAAAATATAGCCCAAAAGGCCATTATTCTACATACTTTGGGGTTCAGGTAGATGTGTAAAAGAACCTTCACATCTGGGTCCCTGAGGGCGCAGCGATCTTTCAGCAGAATTCCTATGAGACATAGGGTGCTCGTCCCCATGCTCTACCTGAACCCCAAAAGTATGTAGAATAATGGCCTTTTGGGCTATATTTTGGTGTTTTGGGCCATTACTTTACCTACTTTTGGGGTTCAGGTAGAGGAGCAATGAGTTTTAGGCCTCAGAGCTTAGCCCTTGCTCGATATTGTTCGCGGTTTTGTGCACCAAAGGCTCAGGGCAAATGGCGCGGTAAGCCTCAAACGCCGCCCGCCGACCCTGCAGTGGACGGAGGTAATTTTACACCACTGCGAATCCTCCAAACACTGGACCTCTCCCTCAGGGTCCAAGGACCCCAATAATAGGGTTTAGGGCCCAACTTCCATGACTATTATAGCATTTGGGCCCTAAAGCTGCATTATTTGGGTCCTTGGACCCTTAGGGTCTTATAGCAGTTGCCTTAAAACCTTATGAATTATTTGGGTCCTTGGACCCTTAAGGATTGGAACTCTTGGAGAATACGGCAAACCTCTAAACCTCTCTTTCATATGTAATTTAAACCTTAATGGAGTTACTGGGCATTGGCCCACCTGCTTACTGGGCATTGGCCCGCTTGCTTCTAGGGTTGTTCTGGCTCTAGGGTTCTGGCTCTAGGGTTTCGGTGACGCTGGCTTAGGGTTCCGTTTCTAGGGTTCCGTTTCTAGGGTTCTGGTTATAGGGTTCTGGTTGTAGGGTTCTGGCTCTAGGGTTCTGGTTATGGGGTTCTGGCTCTAGGGTTCTGGCTCGAGGGTGCTGGCTCTAGGGTTGTGGCTCTGGGGTTCTGGTTATAGGGTTCTGTTCTAGGGT